TAGATAATAGCAGGAAAATTGAAGTTTGAAAATGGTGTGACATTTACGACTCTGTCTCCACACGACCTTAACTAACAAAAACGTACGTTTTTTTTGTTTGACGCGGAAACCGCGTGTTACATTTGCAGTTTTTGATTCTTGATCTGAAATGCTAAAAATAGCCCCGCCTGATAGCATCCGCCATGTCAGTGGTGTTCCCAAAATAGCTGCACATAATGAGGCCATGTGTTCCTATTTCTGCATGGGCCTCATCAATACCAATTTCAAGACAGATGATAATGATAATGATAATGATAATGACGCTCTTTATCTACAATAATTACTGCATACATACAATACTTCAAATTCAAGCGATTGCCATGACCTTTAATTTTCATGATTGCTAATCATATTTTTAATGCGTATTTAAAATAATTCAAGAAGAAGAAGAAGAAGAAGAAAATCTGTAGCCTTTGCCAACCGAGGGTTTGGTATTGGTTGCCACTGATTGATTTAGCTTGTACTCCACGGATCCCAACAGACCAGACCCCTAATGAGTCCTCACTGCTAATACTAAGCCCTCTTAACCCAGATTGGCTGTCATTAAATGCCCATCACGCGGTTCTCTCACAGACATAAGTAATTACCTTTAGTTTGCAGTCAAAACACCCGCGTAGAATCAGTGCATCCAATTTTGTTTCCCCCCTCAATTTTATGTAATTTAATGTTTTATTTGTTTGAATAACCCTTATACAGTATTTTTCTTATAATTCTGAGAGGAAAAAAAAAACCCAAAACTCTCAACTTTTATATTTCATGTTTTACAAAACTGAAGTATATGTGATTTTATCCTATAGTTTTTCGAATATACCCTAGTTCAAACCTGAGGCCCGTGGACCAAATGCGGGCCGTTAAGTCATTTTGTGTGTTTAATAGCCTTATAATCAAATCAATGCTGCTGAGTTTGTTAACCTGATAAATTCAGTTTATTTTAACTGAATTTAAATTCAGCAATGTACAGTATTTGTTACTTGAATAAATAATAATCAATTGCAGAAACGTGTATAAATACATTATAGAGTAATTACATCTATATAGTCTCACAGTTACACCCAGCCCTTTGACTGTGTATGCTTAAGTTCTGCTTGTGGTGGACGCATGTACTGTCATAAAACACAATTGTCTCTCCCTGTTGAGAATTGTCACAGCCTCCATATGAGATGTTTCAACGGAGTTGCTTTTTTTTTTTCTGTATTATTTTAGCATAGATTTCCCTCAGGGTATGGAAATGATTTCTGCTATAAGCTACAATGTACGCGTGAGCCCTGCAGGAGAATCAGCGCTTGCAAACGCACCAATAAATACGACGGTGATGGTCATAGGTAAACGGAAAAAAAAAAAAAAAAAAAAATCCAATCAAAATAAAACAACAAATTCATTATGTAAAAGCTGGCCTGCGGAGACGTTGAGTGTAAAAGGACGTCAATGATCGTTACGATTGTGCTGCACTAAGCTTCTTCTTATGCAATGAGTAAAAACCTAAGAGCATGTATGGCAGGGTCCCAATTATCCCTGAACTATTTTTCTTTCACTCGACTCATAGGAAGTTGCCAAGATTAGGGTGAAGATTTGAGGAATGGACAGGAATTTCCATTTCACTCATATTCTTAGTCTTAAGGTAGTATCCGATCAACGTTCACACTCTTTAAAATACAGCATGAGTGGCCTACAACTATATGTAGACCTTAAATACGCTTTGAGATATCAAAGCAAAGCAAAAAAAATCATATGCATTTTTTTTTGTTTCACAATTTCATGGATCACAGTATGTTTCCACTGAGAACTCGTGAGGTTCCTGCTGGGATGATAGATCACCTCCATTACTACATGCTGTGTTCAGGCTTATCCCTTGATGAAAGCGCCCTCTCTTCTGTACGTAGTATTGAACAAGCAAAAAAATATTCGGTGGGCATTTTTCTGATGTTATCATAAATCTGAAACTCCTGGCCTGGGGGGCCACATCAGCAATACAGTTCCTCTTGAAGGGCCAGTTGTCAATGGAAGACTGTATAGATCAGAAGTCCCCCAACCCGACCAGTACCAGTCCATAGGTCATTTGGTACCGGGCGCTCTTTATCTACAATAATTACTGCATACATACAATACTTCAAATTCAAGCGATTGCCATGACCTTTAATTTTCATGATTGCTAATCATATTTTTAATGCGTATTTAAAATAATTCAAGAAGAAGAAGAAGAAGAAGAAAATCTGTAGCCTTTGCCAACCGAGGGTTTGGTATTGGTTGCC